GAAAATTATTACAGATCATATTTAGCTGGGAAGCTAAATACTAATAATTAATATACTATTAATTAACTTTTCTGTCTGAATTTCCTAGCATTTATACAGAGATGTCTATGAAAAGAACAAGGCTAAAATCCATATTGCTATAGTTATATTAGAATTAGAGTTAAACTCCTTAGAAAATTATTACAGATCATATTTAGCTGGGAAGCTAAATACTAATAATTAATATACTATTAATTAACTTTTCTGTCTGAATTTACTAGCGTTTATACAGAGATGTCTATGAAAAGAACAAGGCTAAAATCCATATTGCACCAGACATGGTGGGCATTGTGACAGCTAAGAAAACACAGAAGAAAATCAGTGAAGTTGATTATCGTGTCCATCTCCATCAGTGGGCTAGTATTCCAGATCCTCATGCCAATATTCTTGCCCGAAAAGTCAATAATCAACTTAGTGATGTAAGTCAATTATAACTCCTTAGAAACAAACATTGTACAAGGACAGAAACAGTATGAATAGTATATATATGTATATATACTTCATTTTATTCATTGTAAACTATACTAATTTGATTTTAATGCAACTTAATTAAAACACAAGCTGAAAGTACGATACTGATGTATAACCATTATATGTTGGTTTAGATTATAAAACAACCATGAATATTTGTAAACCTAGGCATCAAAAATAGACTCCTTATTATCAGTTCTTGATGGAAGTGGTATAAGAATTGTATATAGCACATATTTTTATGGGGACAATGTAAGATATTATATAAAGGACCATTTTTTATTTTTCTAGATTTAAAAACCACCTAATCCCAGAACAATTCTGGGTCACTTACATTTTACAAAACTTAAAATAATAAAAACAAGAAATTATGTATACTTGGACAAACTATGCACATCACCAAAAACTACAACCAACATCATTTTCTGATTTGCAATGGAACATTTTAGGATCTCATTTTATAGCAAATATTTATCAATACAAAATTGCCATAAAAATAGTAATTTGCCCTATACAGTTGTGGGTTCTTTCTCACTGCATCTCCATGCCTGCCTTTTGCTCCATCTCAGCAATGAAGGTATTTGTGTTGTTGCCATTATACATCGTTTTGAGGGCAGGGACTGGTGGGTTCCTGGCCCTCCTATCTTCTTCTGTCAGAGTCACCCATCAGCAGAAAAACCAAAGGTCGGCTGCTGTTGGTCATTTTGGGGTGATAAGCGAATTAACCTTATAAGTATTACTCTCAGAACAAAATAAAAAAGAGTGGTCAAAGAGATCAATGAAAAAAGAAAAGCAAAAATGTGGCAAAACAACCTATAGAGCAGGACCGTCAAACTCGTAGCCCACAGACCAGATGTGTCACAGACTGGCTACGCCCATGCCCAGTTTAGCAAAGAGGGGAGTCATGTGACGATGCCGTAACAATGCAAGTTTGAGACACCTGCTTTGGAACATTCAAGCAAAAGAATGAGGTGTACTTTGGGAATGAAAGAAATTAATGAGGTAAAAAGAAAGAAGCCAAAAGGGAATAAAATTATAAATGTAGAACCTTGTCAGCTATCTCTTCTCATGTTGATGAAACTAAGTACCATCAGAGAACTAAAGGCTTAAGAGCAGCAGACACAGAGATTCCTTGGATGGAATTGAATTTAAAAGGCTGATTTAAACCAATTAGCCCCTTTTTTGAGCTTCCTGCTTCTAGTAACTATATTTTCTTCAGATGGCAGAGGCTGATAAAAAGAAGGCCCAATTGAATTATATTCTGCTTGTCTTTAAAGACTTTTCAAACCAGACCTGATAAGCATAGATACTAGAAAGACATGAAATTAACAATCAAATTAGTCTTGTCGGTGGTATTCCTTCCAGGCATGGAATTAAATTAATAGATTATTTTACATGAAATAGAGCTGGATCCAAGTTGGAAAATTAATTTTAGTTGATAGATAAAACATTCTTGAGATTGCATGGAATGAATCCTCACCCTTTCTCTTTTAATTTTAATATTTCAGTTTGTATACAAAGATGATCTCAACTGGCTCAAAGGCATTGGCTGTTTTGTTTGGGACACTCCTGAAATTCTTCATGCTAAACATGCCTATGACCTTCGCAATCTCGTAAGTATGGTCGGCAATTTTTGATTGCTTCAAACTTCTACCAACCCAACAGAGGTGGTTTGCAATGGTGGGTTGCAGGCGGTACACCCTGGTACGGGCGTACCGGAGCCTGCCTGGAGCACTGGGCACCGTTCCGGTACGGTGCTCTGGAGGGCCCACCTGCCCGCCTGCACTCCTTACCTGTCTTTAAACTCTTTGATGCTTCCATGAACGTACATGGCATATACAGCGCCTGCGTGACGTTCCGCCGAGCAGCTGGAGCGTTGTGGAGGCTCACGGAGGTATTGCTGGACCATAAGACACATGCATGTGTGCGCATGCTGCACCTGTTCATGTGGAGGACTCTGGGCCCTGTTGAAACCATATCGGTTGCAACGGGATCTGGAACCCACCATAGGTGAGTTGCTACCAGTTTGCACTGGTTTGGGTGAACCAGTAGTAGAAATTGGACTAGGTTGCCGGACTGGTAAGGACAGCAGGATGGCCCAGCCCCCAAACCAATTCCCCAGTCACACATGCCATTGCTGGCATGTTTTTTAGTTATTTTATAATTTTCTGTCCATGCGCAAAACAATTTACAGGTAACTGCACATGCGCAAGCAATGTGCGCACTAAGCGAACTGGCAGTAACGCCAGCAGCAAACCACCCCTGCAACCCAAACATTTTCAAATGCAAAAAACATCTTTCTAACTAATTGGAAGGAGCCCAGCAGATGAGGCATCAGCCATCTTATCCAAGATGGTTTTAATTTTGCCAAAGCTATTGTTGCTTGCAATTTTCCTTTGCATCCTTTCTTCATGGAAAAGAGGCTCCAAACCAGATACAACTTGATGTGTTTTAAGAGTGCTACTTTCACAAAAACTATTAAATGGATTTTTTAATAAAAAAAAATAGAATGACAAAAAATGTTATCTATGTATTTTTCCCCTCTCACAGCTCAAATACAGGGCGGAGGCAGAGAAAATGAAGAGCAAATATTCCGTAGTCACACACACACCTCTCTATGATCAAAATGTGCTCAGTGGCAAGAATCTGAGTGAAGTGAGTATTTGCATTTCTGTTCCCATCAGCTTCTTCCTCTTTTCTTTAATGATCATGGCTTGGATTTTTGCTAACATGCTTAGCATGGTTTACTAGTACTATGTCCACCAGCCAATCAGCAGCAATTGAAGAAACAGTTCAAACCTGCAGCTGGAAATAGTTCAGGAATGGGTCATCTTCCCATTTCACTCTCAAAACCATAAATTGCTTTCAGAATGATCTAGTTTCATTTCTTTGCAATTTTATCAACCAAATAGAGCATGTTCACAAATGCAGAAACTGAATGGGGATTGATTTTCCCCCAGTGCAAGTCATTGCATAGCTACAGAAAAAAACTACAGCAACAGAAGATTTTTTCCCCTTGTCCTTGCTTTTACATCTAAGTTAGATGCATAGGAACATTTTATTTTTCAGTTTATTTAGACCTGATTGAACATCTATCTATATCATAAGTTAAAAGGGTCCTTGTTTTTACTCTATGTTTTAGGTTGGTTACTACATTTATTGTTACATATGAAGTTCTGGTGTGGTTTTATTTGTTACCGTGAATGTTTTAATTTGTTCTGCTATGTTCTATGTAAGCTACCAAAAGCCTTTTCGATTGCCGCAAGGTAGAAATTTTATAAATAAATCAATAGGACTATTTTTTTTCTTTATTCTTCAGCAAGTGGTTGAATAGTCCATACCTGATGACTTTCCAGGCAAAGTAATGCTGTGTCATCAATGTTTATGTAATCATCATAACTGCATGCAGTGATTCTAGTTATAATTTTTAACAAAAATATAGCAAAGTAAATATATTTCCTCTCCATCAGCTTTTTGTCACACTACTTCATAATTCACTATATTTCTGCACCATCTAAAACTGTAGATCAGATGCGAGATGGATGGATAGATGGATGGATGGATGGATGGAAGGAAGGAAGGAAGGAAGGAAGGAAGGAAGGAAGGAAGGAAGGAAGGGATTTTTTTTTTTGAGATCCCCTCTCCAGCATTAGGATTTTTCTTTGAAACTCTACTTTTGCTCTCTCTAGATCTGATTGATATCTAACCAGTGCATTTAAAAATAAAACAATGAGGAAGCTTTTGCTAATATTCAACATAGCTTATTTTGTTTTGTCAATTCTTAGGCTGTTTACCGCCATAATTATGTGCATCATATCAAAGGGAAATATACACCAACAAATAAGACAGTGGATCTGGAGCGGGCAAATCGGGCTTACAAGATACAGAGTGAAGTAAGTACTTGGATTTTGGCTCTTGGATTTTGACGATTTTAAAAAAGAGGGAAGGAAGAGGTTTGATTGAATTTGGAGTCATGAAGCTGCAGAAGAAAAACAGCAATAATAATATACAAATAATACAGTATCAAATATAAAATAATTATAGTGAGCCATACAATGATCCAGCTGTTTAAGGTATTTGGGGGTCCTCTCTTTCCTGCAAAAGCTTTTCATATGGTATAAAAGTTTAAAGTGGGCTTCATTAGTGGTGTGATTTTGGCTACCTTTTTTGGAAGTGAGATTGCTAGTAGAAAGTGTACTCTCTCAACTCATGATGACAATTTGTGGAAATATTCTGTTTTCTTGGCAACAAAATAGAAGGGGTTTGCTACTTCCTTATTTCGGAATACTGTTCCTATTCTAAGTTACAGTCATAGGATTTTCAGGGGGGGTAGGATGTCTGTCTATCTAATAGTTACCAGATCTGTCCCTAATCCTTAGGTTTTTGAAGATCAACCAAGGCCAGCAGGGTGCGGAGTTCAGCACATTCACCTTTTTCTAACCATAATCCTAAATTTAGCAGACTGTGGAATCATAGAGTTGAAAGGGGGGCAATTAGGCCATCTAATTCAACCCGTTCTTAGTGGAAAACCTAAATTGAATTGTATCTCTATCAGATTGGCTTGCTTCTGCTTGAACCTATCATATCAAGAGGAGATCACCACTTCCCTTATTTAAATGTTATTACCATTGAGTACTGCAGTTAAAAATGGCTAGGATTGCATTTCTTGATGTATATTTTCAATTTACCAAACTCAGTGTCAGGGTTCTAATAGCATCCAAAAGTAAATCACAGTCCAAGGCAAATTATTGCTCAAAGTTCCAATTTATGAAGAGAGGCATGTTGCCACATCAGGGAAAACCTGAATCTGAAGGCTTCCCGATTTTCCACACCCAATGGGGAAAGTTCAAGATCTTGCCCCCACACCCACAAGTCCATCACATGGTCCAATCTTCCATTGCCCTATTGGTAGTTCCACCCATCCAGTTCCGGTTAGGTGCAGAGGTGCAAAGACAAAGGATGACCTTGGCTTTCTAGAAAGAATTTTGTTATGGCTACATAGCATCTCACTCCTTATAATCCCCCCTCCCATTTCCCACAATAGAAAATGCATAGTAGAATAATAGAAAGTGTGGCAGGCCAAAGATCCAAAAGAAAAGATGGCTGCANATCATGTCACCTCTAGTCCTTCTTCTCATTAGACTAGACATACCCAGTTCCTGCAACCTTTCTTCATATATTTTAGCCTCCAGTCTCCTAATCATTCTCTGCACTCTTTCTAGAGTCTCCACATCTTTTTAAAATTGTGGTGACTAGATCCATTGAGGATTATTAGGTAGCACAGTTAGGAAACTTTTTTTAATGCAGGAAAGCTGCTGTGAATCAGAATGAATCATTTTGCACTCTTCAGGTGTCTCTAAGGATACAGATAAACTCTCAAGTGCTAATGCCCAGATGACCGCAAAAAATATAAATCCTTCCATTTCCCACTCTTCAGTTAGAATTGAAGAAGCTTCTTGGAAGGGAAGCAAAATGTTTTCAAGGGGAAAAAAAACCCAAGAAAGTCCAGTTGCCTTTTGGAAAAGCACCTTTGGAATGATCTGAACTCTTTTACTGCCTGATTCACTACATTTAATGTTTTGTGAGAATCAGGACAACATGATTTGCTTACAGTCATGGTTTGCTATGCTTGAGCACAGCTGAGTTAAGGCATCTTTATTTATAGAATTACTTTCCTTTGTGGAAAAAAATACAGGCATAAATAAATGCAAGGATAGTATCTCACTCTCTGGGAACAAAGTAAACCTTTCTAATTTTTCTAAACCAAAAAGGGCCTTAATAGAAATATAGCTCTGCAATATTTTTTAAAGCTATCAAGTGCTGTATATTATAGAGACTCCATAATACATGGACTTCAAAAACATAATCTCATAGGTTGTGCACACATGATTACTAAAAAATTAAGCCCGGCTGCTTTTTTTTTTTTTTTGCCTTAATTTTACAGCTGAAATACACAAAACAAGGGAAGGACAATTTACCGAACTATGGTGTGGTTATGGACACTCCAGTTTATGTAACTGCCGTTCAGAGTGGTCACAATGCTAGTGAGGTGAGTCATTCTCCTTCTTTGCTTAAATTTATTCCTTATTTTCTTATTTTCTGTAATGTGTATGAAGAGATTGACTGTAATTCACTTTTATTGCAGCTGAGATATAAAGAACAATACCATAAAACAAAGGACAAATATACCACAGTATTGAAAACAGCAGATCATGACAGGATCCAGAATCTCAAGCACCTCTTTAGTAATGTGAGTATTTTTCTTTTTAATGCTATTCTTGAGTTATGATAGCATAATATAGGCGGTATATCCAAAAGCATTCATGCTAATGAATATAAAATCGTTCAAGTTCTGCCAAATCCAGAAGTCTCTTGAAATTACTTTATGTGCACACTTTAAAAAAACAGATTTTGGCTCACTGTTGCTCTCGTAGCTTCTTATACCAATATAAAGGTAAAGGTTCCCCTCACACATATGTGCTAGTGGTTTCTGACTCTAGGGGGTGGTGCTCATCTCCGCTTCAAAGCTGAAGAACCAGCGCTTTCCAAAGACATCTCTGTGGTCATGTGGCTGGCATGACTAAATGCCAAAGGCGCAGGGAACGCTGTTACCTTCACACCAAAGGTGGT